TTTTCGGTGCGACAGCTGGGGAAGCGAAGACGGGGGAAGCGAAGCAAAAAAAAAACAAGCTTTCATATCCGCCGCGGATGAGGCCAAACAACTTCTCTGTTTTGCTTGAGGGCACGATTGTGAGTGCTGGTTGAACTTACTGGGATTATTCAAAAACTACAACCCCATAGTCTCAGGGTCAAGCCTGTGACTCGCAATCGAAAGGTCTCTGGTTCAACTCATTTTGGGTGCGTTCAGAAAAAATGTCCGCCGCGGATAGGATCCCGCGGCGTCCGTTTTTGCCTCCTTCAAGGCCCTTGGTCCCAGAGCCAGAGAGAAGGGGAGAGGGGGGAAGGAAGGGAAAACGGAAAAAAAGGGGAGGGAAAGGGCAGGGCAGAGTCGGGCAGAGAAGAAAAAAAAAACTTTTGGGTTGGCCAAACACCCCACTTCACAAAATTGCTTTCGGTGTTTTCTCGCCCTCCTAGGAGGCTGAAGAGCTAGGTGCTGTGTTTAATTTGGGATTATTGATATAGTTTACGTCTCGCGTCAAGCCCGTGATTCGCAACTTGGCCGTACCACCGTGGACAGGGTCAGCCGCCTCCTTGTTTGCCTAAACCTCCCAGATTTTCCAGGCGCTGGGAACACGGGGGGACAGTGGGAGGAGGGAGGGAGGGGAGGGAGAGGAGGGAGGGAGGGGAGGGGGAAAACCCCACGGATAGGCGCCTTGAGGGAAATACCAACGCGGATTGGGGGGAAAACTGTCAAATCTTGAGTGCAGGACGAGCTGATCATTCTCAGAAGTTTTGGCTACTAGGTGCCTGATCACAGAGGGGCAATAATGTGAACTCAACAATTTGAACAGCTCGACGACCATTGTGTCAAGGTTCAACCTGTAACTCATAACCTGAAGGTCCCTGGTTCCAATCCCCCCCGATGCGTTCAAGGGAAATGGCCCTAGCCGCCGCGGATAGGATTGATACATCATCATAAGCTCCAATGTAGGCTTGACATGATGACATGAATTTTGCTTCTTACTCTCTTGGGCACCAGCATGTTGTCAAGCGCTCCATGGATGAAATTAAAAAGCAATAGTCTGCCATGTCAGCCGCAGAATACATAAGAAGTGTCCGAAGTCTCAGCTGGAGGCTGCCATTTCTTATTAAACCGATGGCCTGTAGCAGTGGATGAACCTCAACCTAGGGAGGCTTTAGGTTCCACGATTCCGGTGTGGTCACCGAAGGATAGCTGCTAGCTTTAAAGCATGAGAGGGGCTCAAAGCATTCCAATAATGGCTCTGTGTTGGGATTTCTGGTTTAGGGCGTAGGCTTTGCAAGCGTCCATTTTGGGAAACCACTCACGGCTGGCATGCCGGTGCCAGAAAGGGCTTCAACTCCCCCGGGAAAAGCTAAAGGGGGCCCAGGACAGGCCTGTGTTGTAGGTCTCACTGTTGAGGTTCCAAACTAGTTTGAGGAGGGATTGCCTTCAACCCTAACCGCCAAAATCAACGTGCCCAAATACTAGTTTTTTTTGGAACCCAAACATCCCTGATCGGAACCCATTCAGACCCAAAGTTAATTACATCCCCCTTACGCACTTGGACCCTTGGAGTAAGCCCTGAAGTCCTTGGGATGTTTCGTGAGGCAAGCCGGCACAGAGGACGCGTGAACGATCTGTAGGTCCATGTCAATTTCAAACCTTCGCTCAGATTTGGTGTTGATATTACGAATTTCGTGACCTTGTCGCACTAGACATACATGCTTGTCGGGCTTTAGGATGCTTGGGGCCTGGAAGGTTTTTCGCGTCAACAGCAGGGCATGGGGTTCAGGCTCGGGGTACCTTTTTTATGAACATATTGAGCTTGGGCCCAGACGCTTGGGTTTGGTTGGCTTGGGAATTTTGGGATTCAAGCTTATAAGGTTCCATGCCACTGTAGCATGAGTCTCCCCGAACCAGCATTCCTACTTTGAGCCGCAATACACCATCCTGCATGCTGGGCTTCCTGCCTATACAGTACAAATCTTGGGCTAATGGGTGGGTATATTCCCTGGACCCTAAACCCTAAAGCCTGGTATATATATATATATAGCTATTTGGGGGTGTACCCTCAGAAATGAGTGCGAAGCCTCAAAGCGATCCCCAAGGAACCAGCATCCACCTACTGGTGCTTCAGGGCCAGCGGGGGAGTGAATATAAGTACCATTATAGGGGTATACATGATTATTACTAGGAGCCACTCCCCCACACTCCGTTAAGCACCAATAAGTGAAATGCTGGGAATCACTGGCATCCCCCCAAATCGCCTGGTATTGCTGGTCCTTGGGAGGTGGGCAATATGGGACTCCGAAAGTGATACTGCGCAGTGTGGGCTGCTGTTAAGGAACTTGAACTACATTACTGTAATGGAGACATATATGTTTATATAGATAGTAACTCATATGGTTCCCCTATTGCAGTCACTTAGCTTAAGTTACTTAACAGCAACCAGTAGCTATAAAAAGGAGGAACCGATTTTTCTTCGTCCCTATGGAAGCCCCATGATAACCCCATAGAAAAGTCTCTAGAACCCCTTTCTCCATTCAACCTGAGCTATAGTCTGAACTCCCAGCATCCCCATTGACATCCCCTATAATACTCCCCCTTTTAATCCCCGAATAACCCCTTTTATCACTTAAGACTATAGCTCACATGAGCATTCGTAGAACTTCAAGGGCTGAGCTGAGACCCATCCGAGCGACGACAAGAACTGATCGCGGGCGATCACACTGGTCCTAGGCACAGCTGGCATACGTCAACGTACTGTCCTCACCCTGTAGCAGTCTATATTAGGCGTCATATTCAGGTCTATATCTATATTATCCAGCTCTTATAGAGTGGGGCAATAAGTTCACATGGAACAACGTGTAGAACAGTTGGGATCTTTCGGGGTTGCGTGTTTTGCGGGGAGGTTATTTCTTCGCTGACATGAGGTTCCAGACTTGCAAAGAGAGCCTTCAGCCTGGAGAAGGTTTACAGGAATTACAGGGATCCATTCCCCCACTCTCCCTTAAGCACCATAAGGCAAAGCCGAGGTAGGTGTGATTTGAGCTTTTCCCTACCTAGTCCCCTGTACTACCCTGAATCTCGGGTGCATTCCTAGGGGGCCCAAATAGGACCCGGCCCCCTTCAGGGAACTTTTCTTGAAAGTGATTCTAAGGGTATAGGGAGTTCTAACAGGGTCTTCCAAGTAGTTAGTCTACCTGCTCTCCCCCCCACAAGGGTCTCAAGGTGAAAGACCAGACCCTCTTCCCTTTGAATTTCTGTACCACATATTAACCATATCCCTTGTTGTCGAGGCCGCCCAAGAAAGGACCTCAGATTCTTTCGGAAACTCCCACTTGACATGCTTGGCAAGGGAACAACAGGTGGAATCCCTCCTCTAAACGGAGGTTCAAGGAAATTATCTATCGCCAAATAGGACATGTGCTGCTAATCCAAGCATCAGCCCTCTTAGTCCCCTGATAAAGTGTCATTGGGATATAAGTACCATTTATGCTTGGGTACAGGGTTTAGGGAATTGCCCCGCCAAGTGCTCTGCGCGAACCCTAAACCTTGTGGAGATCCGCAGCGTTCGGCAATCAGTCGCATGCCCTGCTGCTGCGATTCCAAGACCCGAAATATACCGAAAAGGATATGGTAGTTGTTGAAGATATCCGTCCACAAAATGGCCTTAAGGTAGGTTCCCTTGTTGATTAGGATCCTTGAAATATGCCCTCAATGGTCCCTCCCTTACAAGGACCATTGGAACAACCCCCACATGCCTTCGGTGTGAATGCTACTAATTATAATGTGAAACCATAAACCTTCATTGCGCACCCCCTCTGAGTGAGTCAAACTTTTATTCCGATGCGCGCCTGAACCCTAAATCCCAAACCTCTAAACCCTTTAACCCGAACCCCTTAAACCCCTAAACCCCTAAACGACTAAACCCCTGAACCCTTAAACTCTTAAACCCCCAAACCCCCAAACCCCTATACCCCTAGTCCCCTAAACCCCTAAACCCTTGAACCCCCAAACCCCTAAACCCCTAAACCCTTAACCTCACCCAGGCTCTGTAGAGACGGCTCCTTGTCAGCTGCCCTCACGGGCTCTGAAACGGGACTGCAGGCCCATGCCGAAGAACACTTACTGGTGGTTTAGGGTTTAGGGCTTAGGGTTTAGGGTTTAGGGTTTAGGGTTTAGGGTGATTATAGTCCCCCTTAAGTAGGTAGAATATGGGGGTTATATAGGGATAATGGAAAAGAAAATGGAAACAACTATTTAGGGCTTAGGGTTATAGTCCCCCGTAAGTGGATAGAATATGGTTTGGGTATATTATAACAAGATCCACATATACCCCATATTTTATCTACTTAAGGGGGACTACAGTTAGTAGGGAATAAGGCAATAGGTTTCAGGGTTGAGGGTCCATCGGGAAGGAGGGAATATAATCCCTATATAAAGTTCAAGGTTTAGGGTCTAGGGCTAATAGGGAATAAGGGAATATAATTCCTACATAGACACTATATCACATGTTCCCGTATTTGCGACTAGTCCCCAGTAAGAAAAGCACAGAGGCTGGGTGGGAAGGAGGTCGTAAACTCAAAGCCGTAAACACTCGGGGGGATCAGCTTCAGATTTAGGGTTTAGGGTTTTCCCTTGGTTTAGGGTGTTTAGGGTTTCGGGATTAGGTTTCAGGGGTTTAGGGTGTTCTGTCCAAGGTTCCAGTCTTGGGGATCTAGAGCTGAGGGTTTAGGACGTAAGGTTTCGAGCTCAGTAAGCAGCTCAAGCTGGGTGTTGAGTTTGCCTGTAAGTCCAGGACTTACGGGTCCCTGTATATCTTTGGGGTCCAAGGAGGCCCCCTGTGACAGAGGCTTTCAAGGCTTGCAGTTCTGTTACTAAGGAATGGCGCTGAGGGATTAGGGTTTCTAGATTTGTGTCTAGGGTGCCTTGAGAAGTGGATTTTAAATCCAGTATAAGATGCCCTTTACCGGAAACGATTTGACTGTCCGTCCGAAGGCAACCCTCTTGTGAAAAATGCGGTTGCGATAGGTTCAGGGCAAGGTTTAGAAAGTAGAGATTGCTGAGGATAGGGCAGCATTGGAAAAAAAGACGATAAATATTCAGTATGTGGTAGGGGGATACACACCACAAAGACGTCTGCACTTAAAGACTTCCTTTCCACGCAGGTCCTCCAAAATTCCAAAACACTGGTCCATGACGCATCGATAATCCATTTGGGACTTGGCCGACATACCTAAACTCGGGATTATATGTGGTAGCGTCTCATTAACAGGAATCCCACCATAGGGACCCGCGAATTGGGGAAACCCACAGACATGCGCTTTCTGCGGAAATTTGGACCTCAAGCCTCGCCATTCCTCACCCAAAGAATCGAAAATAACAACTGCATTTTTAATTTTGAACCCCCAACGAAACCCACCTAAATCCTATGTAAATCCTGGACAGCACCCAGATTCCGAAGGCGGTGTGTAAGAGCGCGCCGCCATGGTCATGCTTTCGATTGCTCGGCTTCCGGAGAGGGATACTTGATCCTGAGATGAGTAGCGCTCTTGTTGGTGGTTGAAACAATCGAAATTATGTCTGTCTTACAAACCCCAAACGCTAAATTACTGTACTATACCCAAAACAAGTAATCTAATCTTACTCTATGTTGGGGGCTAGGGTATCCCAAAATAAATAACAACTCGATGTGACGTTCTCAAGGCGAGCAGCCCCTGGCAGGGAACCCCATGGTGTTTCGGGATGACAGGGGGATGTACAGGGTTTAGGGTTTAGGGGCTCTGTTAGAGAATATTAGAGTGTGCTAAACCCTAAACCCTAAACCCTAAATCCTAAAACCTAAATCCTAAACTTGGGTTTCGACCCTAAATCCTACACCCTAAACACTTAAGCCCTAATCCTGAACCCTAACCCCGATGGCTTGAAATTTGGATTTTTTCACGTAGCTCTTGAGGGATGGCGTTTCTGGGCTTATGGTCCCCCTTTAGTTGATAGAATATGGGGTATATGGGGATCTTATTACAATATACCCAAAGCCATATTCTATCTACTTAAGGGGGATTAACCCTAAACCCTAAACCCTAAATAGTACTTTCCATTTTCTTTTCCACTATCCCTATATAAACCCCACATTCTACCTACTTAAAGGGGACTCTAGGCTTGAGGGCCCTACTTCGAGGTTCACGGTAACCATACGCAAATAGAACTGGCATTAGGGTTTAGGGTTTAGGGGTATTACAACCCCATGAACACCACGCTGCAGGGACCTAGGGGGCTTAGAATTACCCTGGACCTCAAAGTAAGGTTTGCAGTTGAAGGGGTTTGGGGTCCATGAGTTTTGGCGAGGGCCCCCACATCATTCCAATGGAGGCACATTCATGTTGCAACGTTTCTTATTCGGAGCTCCCATCTGGCCACTATGAATGGCCTTCAACCCTAAACCCTCCACCCAAAAACCTAAACCTAACCTTAAATAGTAGTTTAATTTTTTCCATTATCCCTATAAATTCCTAATGTAACCCTCTATAACCCTAAACCCTAAATAGTAGTTTACATTTTCTTTTACATTATCCCTATATAACCCCAATGCAACCCTCTATAACCCTAAACCCTATTGGCTACTGTGGACGGAGCAACTCTTGCACCCTAGAAGTTGCAGCACAATGGGTCCTAAGTGGCGCAAGATTCCCTACAGCCACCCTAGGGTTTAGGGTTTATAGTGTTTATAGGGTTTAGG